AAATGTGGGATACTTTAGATGGTGAATAAGTATGCAAGTGGTGTTTGTACATTGTAAGCTTATAGCATAACATGGAAAAGATTGTCCTAAGGTGGGACCATTTGAGTGATGATAAGTGTTAAAGGATGATATGAGTTGAAAATATTAAGTTTGGCCTAGTGTATATGATGAGCAAGGTGGAAGAACTCCTTGGAAAAGGGATTTCTAGCAACCACAGTGCTGCAACGGTGATTCTTCAACGCTGCAGCGCTGAAGCTGCCTCACATCCAGCAACCGTAATGTCGCAGCGTTGCAGTGCTAAAACTAGCTAGTGCAGCACTACGGTGTAGACTGCCTAGCACTGCAGCACTAAGGATATTTGTTTTTATTAGATTTATGACTAAGAATAAAGAATGATTGGCAATAATGGGGCATGCTGATGAATTTACAAGCCAAACTATGGCTATTGACTTTGATGTTGGGATTTCTTAATTGGAGTTTTAAACATTTTGAAGAATGTTTATGTGAATGAATGGAAAAGTTCTTTGTTACCATATATTGACATGTAAGCAAAAGAGAAATTGAAAGTTCTTGAGATGATTGTAATGAGATAAGCTATAGTGTGAAGTGTTAAGATAAACATCATGTTAATTAAAGTCAAATTCTAAGGAATAAAGGATACAAGAGATTAAGTTTTGTTAAAAGGCCAAGAAAAGAGGGAGTGACAAGTTAAAAGAATGTATGAAACATTGATATAGTAATGCCAATATCAAATGATGAAATTGTGAATGAAAGATTACTAGGTTGGTATAGCAAATGAGCTAACATAAAGCAATGTTATGAGGATTTGCAAATCTTAACTTCACATAGTTGAAAGGAAAAGGTTAGTAACAAGACAAGACCAATTACATGACATACTAGAAACTTATGAATATCAATTCAGGCATGAACAGATGAGTATGCATTTGAGTATCTTGGAGAATGAGTGCATGCTTTTGAAATGAATGTGCTTGCAAGGATAATGGACAAAAGAGTAACTAAGTGTTTGAAAAATGCACTAAAGTTTTGCAAAGGATATACCAAACTATATGTGGCAAGAATGATAATTGATGTTACTTATAAATATTTTATATGCACATTGATGTAATGTGGTATTTGGAACTTGTTAAGAAACCTAGAGGCTAAACCACGGGTTATGTGGTTGCTTGTTGTGAGACATAAATTATGATGGGTAATTACAAGGAGATATTCAAGAAGAATCTCGTTAGGAATCTTGTGAAAACAAGCATTATCTCCTACAGCATGCCACCAAAGCAATTTCATCACTTACTCACTTCCTAACAACAATTCCAACTCAATATATTTAATTAAACAAGCATATGGGTAGCACTTCAATCAATTAATCCTTAATCTAATTTCACATTTTTCATTCTCATCATTCAGAGTAATTTAACATGCAATCTATTTCTTTCAAATTTTGGAGGACCTTTGCTACCTTAAATAATTTAACAAAAAGGTTCAACCAATTGAGTTAAATAAAATGACTGAATTCATAACTTCTTACCTCTCAAATGAAACTCCTAGCTCCATAACTCCATTGCGGAGCCTTAACTCTCCAAAAGACCACTCCCCACAATCTCAGGTTGAAAGGAAAATGAACATGCAGCCAGCTTCTCCAAACTGAGTTTACTATTTGTTACACAATAAAAACAACGAGATTCAACCGTTTATTCTCAACTATAATAACTTAAAACTAAAGCTCTTACCTCCACCACGAATTTCCTAACTCCAAATCAATGCTAAAAAGCTCAAATCTCTTGGGACGAAGCTTTAAATGTACGAGGTTTTAAAGAAAAAGATGATAGATCCATATTCTTCAAAAATGGTAGAATGTCCAATGTTGGCCGGTTGCTTGTTTTTTTATTCCTTCATTCTTGTAAGTTTTTAGCTCTTATTTGATGTTATGAAGTTTAAATTCTTTATGGAGGATTTTGAGAAGCTCGGGCTTTCACTTGGAGAGGGAAAGGAGTTAAAAAATGTCTTGCAGAAGTATTTCCCTTCCTTAAAGTTAATACCAATGAAGTCAAGATAAGCATGTACCTTTAGCATGCAATGTGGCAGCTAATAAGGGCTGCCATTAATCCCTAAGAAAGCATGTAAAAATGCAACCTCTTTCAAGTAAATTGGTGGCCAATGAAGACTGCCGTTAATTCCTAGGTGGTTTAGATAAAATATTAAACTTTGCATGCAAATTCTCTTCTTTAGTCTTTGTTATTAACACCACCTTTTATGGTTGGCTTAAGCATGCATTAGTTTTCATTCTTTTCAAATCACATTACCATCCTTTCTTTGTTTACCATGGGCTATCTTTACCAAACCATGGTTTTCTTTCACTTAAATACTCTTTATTCTTTTCTCATAATCAACTATCGCATGGTGGGGTCCCACATATTTCTCACTAACTTCTTCCTTTTTTCATGCAATAATTTGCATGTAATAGTGAATTTCACATGCACATCTCATCATCCCACTTAATCTAACTTCCCTTGGTTTATTAATTTCCATTTAACTTCAAATAGTGTAATTGCACATAAGTCCTCTAACTTTTCTTTCTTTACAATGTGACCCTCCAATCTTTTCATCCTTCACAATTTGGTTATTCCAACACTTCTTATATTCCATTTTCCTCATATTTTCCTTCCTTTACATGTGTACAAATAAAATATAACATTTGCACCGTATCAAGGTGTAACCATAATATTTAAATATATACTTACCAGCTCTTACTCTAATTAATAAAGGCACATCGGCCCCACTAACATAATTTTTTTTCGAAATTCTTTTGTTCTTCTTCTCCCCCACTTAAATTAACCACATACTTCTTCTCCATAACTAATTTCGACAACAAATAAAATTTTAATATTTTACTATTATTTTATTAATAAAATATTATTTTAATACAAAATTCTCCACTTGTCCCCTCAAGACCCAAAATGTCTCATTTGTCCTGGTTCACTTCTTAATCACCATTTTAACTCAATAATTCATCCTTGATAAAAATATTATTATTTAATTACTATTTTCTCACGTGCGAAATATTTTATTCCAAACTATTTCTTTCACCCTTTATCACTCTTAAACACTTTAATTGGCCTCAATTGGTATCCGATAAGCTTTATTAGCCACCATATCAAAGTACGGGGCATTACATTTAGCTCATAGCGTATATGACTATCTCAACACATCCATCTCGTAGCATACATTTCATAACCTTATAAATCACATACATACTTAGCCCATAGTGTATATGACTATCTCAAAACATACATCTCATCGCATGCATTTCATAACCTCGTAAGTAACTCACATGCTCAGCCTATAGTGTATATGACTATCTCAACACATACATCTCATGGCATGCATGTTGCAATCTCATAAATGGAGCTCATGCATCCAACGTTCTTATCATGCTACATTGTATGTAACATGTGTATAATAGCATTCATACATTAACCATAGAAATATCTCGTACCCACACTTGCTTGAAGGCTATAGTAATCGAGTGGACAACAAACATAAAAAGGCTTATACCCCTTTGTTGAAAACTAACACATAGTAGCATATTTACATACATAGTAGATTCCTAAACAATTTGAAAATCATTGTGTAACTCATATCACAATTATTATGAAATCAAGTCATTTGAACATTTCCTTGAAAACTTCATAAAATCTTGTAGTTCAAATCCTGTAATAAACCATTTATGGAGGTAATTTTTCATCATGCTTAAACAACCATTTCCATAAGAATCATGATAACTTTACATAACTAAAATACTTGAAAAGGTATATTCACTCACCTAATTGGAGATTCAATTTCCTAGCTCCAATCACAACTCTGTTTTAGTGTAATCCATGGAGTTTTTAAGCGCTCCTATCATACAAAAATCATCACAATCATCTTCTAGAATAAAAATCTCGTAATAATAATTCTAGGTACTTTCAAAACTACTTACTTTTAGCTAAACTAATTTTCTAGCTAAAACCCATGCTTAGAAACCCATAAATCTTTCATCCTTACCATAGGTGAGCTTGGATGCTGAAGAAAATCATAAAACCTTTAAACTTCAATCACCAACAGAAAATCTGGGCAATAAAATAACTATTCAAGTTCTGGAAATCCAAGACCAAAAGATTTAAAAGTTAAAAATGTCACTTTTTTCCATAAAAACCCAAAACTAAGTTTTAGAATCATAAAAATTGAGTTTTTGGTTAAAAATGACTGGGAAGAGCTTAAGAGGAAGGCTTGATGAGTGTCAAGGTCAATGGAGGGTGTGGCTGCAATTGAGGGAAAAAGGTCGGTCAGGTATTTTAATTGAAAGTACCGACAGAATTATTGATGAAACATTTCATCGATAATTAAAAAATACTTATCGGCTAAATTTTCGTTGGAAAGTCAGTTGGTAATCTAATAAATTAACCCTAAACAATCACGAACCAAATTGCCATCGATGATTTAGTCACTTATTTGATTACTTTTTAGACCAACCATTTCGTTGGTAAAATGGTGGAGAAAATTGAATGAGGAAGGCTTCATTGATGAAAATAATTCATCGGTAACCTTCATGCCAACCCACCACATTTCACGTCGTTGTTTTCTAAATGAAATATCGATGGATTGTATTCTATTGATACATTTCATCAGAACTTATTGTAGCTTGGTTCTGTTACTAATTTTTTATGGATGTTATTGACAAACAAAATTTCATCGATAATGGTTTATTTTTTTGTAGTGAGAGTCCATTGACTAACCAACTGTTCTTTTTCAAGACTAGTTGACTCAAAATATGAGTATCTTTTTCCTTTCAGTATTTTTCCTCGTCTTAGCCTTTCTCTTCTATTTAATGTTTTGTTATAAGTTTTTTCAATTGGACAACACAACATTTAAAATTTGGTCCAGAAAAGAAAACCGTAATAGTAAGAGCATAAAATTTCATCTTAAATGTTTTGAGTTTGAATATTATAATGGAGGAGGTGAGATTTATCATGTCATAATGTTCAAGTATAAGAACTAGACCACTTGATGTGGATTGGAATTGTCTCTAATTTTTTCATCTAGGTGTGATTGACCACTTATTTGAATATATTCTTTAAAATGTTACTCTAAGCTGGAGTTAAGTTCATTTTTATAAATAGGTTTGTAAAATCCCTAAGAAAAATCCCTACCTCAGTTAATTTCTTGATGAGATTCCATGATCCAAATTATTTTAATATGCAAAAAAATGTTTTTCACTTTTCATTCTCTATTCTAATATTATTATTATTATTATTACTTTTATTATTGTTTGCTTTGATAGCTTGAAAATGATTAGAGTTTTGACATGACAAAAATGTTCAAAATATCTTGTTTAAGTGATCTTTGAGCTTTTGAGATCCTTGAATGCTTTTGATATGCATTAGTGTTTCTTTACCTCATTAACATTTGAAGTTGGTTTTAAGTTGTTTTGCGAAAGGAAAAATCTTTTATATACTTTGAATCTCAAGTTTAAGCAAGAGGAATTAACTGCTGGAAAAGGAAATGTCAATTCTTAAAGACACAAAAGCTACTAGATTAGAAGAATCGAGCACTCAAGCAGTGAAAGGTTGATTCTTGGCAACGAGAAGCATAAGAAAGAAACGCTGGACAACAAGAATTGACTTCTCAACCATCAAGTGATTGATTCTTTTGAAGTTACAAGACAAAAATTGGAAACTTGGAGAAGAAAAAAAGCTTCAAAAGTAAATAAAGATGGAAGCAAGTTGAAGAAGTTGAAAAAAAAATTTAAGCAGTAAAACCAAAATTTGAAATTTCAAAATAGCATTCAATGGGCATGAAAATCAACTTCTCAAAAAGTAGGTTCTAAGGCCAAACAACTTTGCAAACCCTTGAGTGTATCTAGCGGTCTACTCCTATAAAGTGTAATATGAAGTTAGACGTTGGCTTCATTGTATCTTTAAGGTTATTCGCATTATTCCCCTTTGCATTCCAAGTGGTGTGGGAGAAATAAGTCTTAGAGATAGCGTCTATTTAAAGGCTTGCCTTGACGTCAATTTTTCCATTTCTTAAATACCTTCAAAACCCTAATTGCACCAATAATTTTAAGACTTATTTTCGTGGTATTCAAAGTGGCTTCACTTAAAAAGATGGCTACCAGCTTTGTCAAGTTAGAGGACTTTGAAGGAGAAAACTTTATTCGATGGAAGAAAAAGATGCGTTCTCTCCTCATAACTCTTAAAGTTGTTTATGTTCTAGACACATCACTACCAAATGAAGAAGATGATATAAGAATCCATGGAAAGAACTCGTTTGAGGCAAAAGTGGGATAATGATGACTACATATGCATGGGACACATTCTTAATGGAATGTCGGATGCTTTTTTTGATGCGTACTAGAATGAAGCTAGTGCAAAACAACTTTAGGACAAATTAAAAGCAAAATACATGGCTAAAGATGCAAGCAGCAAAATATTCCTGGTTAGTCGTTTCAATAACTACAAAATGGTTGATAATTGTTCTGTTATGGAACAATTGCATGAGCTTGAACACATTCTTAATAGCTTTAAGCAATATGATCTTAAAATGTATGAAGCTATTGTGGTATCATCAATAATTGATAAGCTTCCCCCTTCATGGAGAGACACTAAGAAAGCTCTAAAACATAAAAAGGAAGATATGTCTCTCAAGGACTTTGGTAATCATCTTTGAATAGAAGAAGATTATCACAAACAAGAAGAAGTCAAGCAAGACGAAAATGAAAAGAATCTTGAGACTTCGAAGGTCCATGTGATGGAACACACACCATCAAACAAGCCAGTCTCACGCGACAAAAGAAAACATTCCGTGGGTGTAAATGACAAAAGTCATAAGATCAAAAGGAACAAAAAAGGGCCATGTTTCTATTGTACCAAACATGGATACTTTAAAGTGGAACGTAGACTTTTGAAAAATAAGACACAAGGTATGAATAGCAACAAATTTGTGGCTATGGTTTTTGAGGTCAATCTTCTCCAAAATGATGGAGCATGATGGATTGACACTGGTGCAACTAATCATGTGTGCAAAAACAAGGGTTGCTTAAAGACTTTGGAAGTAGCTAATGATGAAAATGTGCTATACATGGGAAATTCCTCCACTATACAAGTGAAAGGAAAAGGCACCATGGAACTTATGTTCACTTTTGGAAAGATACTTGTGATAAACAATGTATATTAGGTACCAGAAGTTAGTATGAATCTTGTGTCAAGTGGCTTGTTGAATAAGTATGGCTTCAAACTAGTATTTGAAGTAGATAAGTTCATCTTTACAAAAGGTGGACATTGCATGGGAAGTGGATATTTTTGTGAAAACATGTTCAAGCTCAATATCAATAAAAATATTACTAGTTGTACTTATATTGATGCCTCGTTTAATGTTCATGATAGTAAATCAATTCTATCTAGTTTATGGCATAATAGATTAAGTCATGTTCATTATAGAAGAATGCATGATATGGCCAAATTAGAATTAATTCCCAACATTGATGAAAATCATGATATGTGCAAGACATGCATGGTCACTAATATTATAAGCAGCTCATTTCCCAAGTTAGAAAGGAAATCCAAATTACTTGCATTAATACATTCTGATGTTTGTGACATGCATAGTACTCCTTCTATCAGTGGAAAGAAATACTTCGTAACATTTATAGATGACTTTCTAGATATTACTATGTTTACCTATTGCATACTAAAAATGAACCAATGGAGAAATTTAAAATTTGTAAAAAAGAAGTTGAATTGTATTGTGAATTATCTCTCAAATGTTTATGAAGTGATGAAGGAGGTGAATATTATGATCCCAAGTACTTTGAGTCTATTGGTATTGTTCATGAGATTACCGCTCCATACACACCAGAACAAATGGTGTAGCGGAACGTAAGAATCGAGTTCTTACAGAAATGGTCAATGCTTTGCTTTCTAATTCAGGTTTGGGAAAAGGATTTTAGGGCGAAGCCTTATTAACTGCTTGCCATATACTAAATAGAATCCCAAATAAAAGGAGCAAAACTACTCCTTATGAACTATGGAGAGGAAGAAAGCCAAACCTTAATTATTTAAGAGTTTAGGGATGTCGAGCCATAGTAAGAGTTTTGAAACCAAAGAAAAGGAAATTGGGTGAAAAAGGAATCGAATGTATATTCATAGGATATGCTGAACATAGAAAAGCATATCGTTTCATGGTGATAAAGCCTAATGATTCATATTCCGTTAATACGGTCATAGAATCAAGAGACTCTATCTTTGACGAAACAAGGTTTAGTTCAATTCCAAGATCTAAAGAATTAGTAACAAAAAGTGATAGCTTGTCAAACAACGAGAAAATGATTATGCTCCGGAGAAGTAAAAGAATTATGAAAGCAAAGACATTTGGATCTGATTTTCTCATCTACTTAGTAGAAGGTACAAGAGAAGAAACATGTGAATACTTACCTTGCTGCTTTAATGTAGAAGGTGAAGGTGATCCTCAAACTTATGATGAGGCAATGAAGTCTTGAGATGCTTCATTTTGGAGAGAAGCAATACAAGATGAAATGGACTCAATAATGGGAAACAAAACATGGAAATTGGTAGACCTTCCACCAGGTTCCAAGCCAATAGGCTGTAAGTGGATTTTCGAAAAGAAAATAAAAGTTGATGGAATCGTAGAAAAGTTTAAAGCGAGACTAGTGGCAAAATGCTTTAAACAAAAGGAAGGTGTTGATTATTTTGATACATATGCACAGGTAGCAAGAATAACTACAATTATAGTGCTTATAGCACTTGCATCTATACATAAGATGGTAATTCACCAAATGGATGTTAAAACAGCATTCTTAAATGGTGAATTAGATGAAGAGGTGTATATAGAACAACCTG